GGAAAGATCACACCTCTCCTGAAAGACCGTGTTAATCAGGTCACATTTTTTGCTTCTGACGGAGAAACCATCCTATCTAATTTTAAAATGTCATGATAATGGTAGTGAGCACGTAGGTATTAATGTCTTGCCTCACTGGATTTTAGCCTATATTCAGCTTGTGACTGCTCATCTTTCTGCTTACTTGTTCTCTTGCAGTGACTTCACTCCAGTTTAAAATCAGACCAATTTAGAACCTAGGTAATGTGCGGTGTGCACACTCAATGGTGAAAGTAACAATTCTGAGGCGCATGTAATTTAATATTTCCATTTTCTGCAACTTTATACTTCAGCTCCACTGCATTTCAGAGGCAGGTTTTAATAAAATGAAGTACAACCAACACCAAATTTCCCACTGATGGTCTTCAAACTACCCAGCAGTAATTCAAATTATAGGCATATAAAAGGTAGTCAACATTAGCACCATCTTTACCAGCTACAACACTAAATGTACACTATGGTATGTGCCATTCTGCATAAGTAATTTTGATGCCAATAATACAAGTACTGTAACATGTTGAGTGCAGGACTTTCACTTGTAACAGTATTTTTACACTGTGGTATTGCTACTTTTACTTGAGTAAACAACTGCCAGAAATTTCACCATGTTTCCTGTGAAACCAGTAACCATTTCATCCCTACTCTGTAGCACATCGGTGAAAAGTGCATCCTGGCACTGTCTGATAAGGTGAAGCAGCAAGTGGACACAGTGCCAAAAAAGTTTACTTTGCTCCAGTGCCCATTAACCATTGATGAAAGTGAGACAACCCGTTTAATGCATTTGGTTTTTACTGCTTGAAAGTCAAGGCTGCTTTTCTTGCCTAAACACTTAAGAATTTGTCAAAAGTTAAATTAAAACGATAAGCTGCATTGAAATCTGATTCTGCTCTCGTTTGTGGTGTTCTGTATCATGGACCATGTATCAAATCGTGTGAGGGGGAGAGATGCACACCCCTAGTGGGTGCTTTCCCCCCCCCCTTACCTGGCAGTCAACGTCATCATCACACACCCAGCTGGCCGGGAATCAAGAGGAGTTGCCACACTGGAACTCACTGGGACCACACGAGGACTGAGCGCACTCCACCTCATCTGAACCATCGCCACAGTCATCTTCACCGTTGCACACAAAATTCTGAGAGATACAGCGGCCGCTGGTGCATGTGAACTCATTTGGAGCACAGGTGATGTTCCCTGGAGGCAGGAGGAGGGGATGAGCATGAGAGAGCCGTTTGTGCTTTAAAAACAACAACCCAACCACAACAGACATTATAATCATGCTGCAGTTGTGTTGTGACTATAAGACAGTCCTATAGAAAAGATCAGTAATACATTGCCAGGACTTAATGGCAAACTAATAGGACAGTTTGTCACTCTCCAAAGTGAGACAAGTTTTCTTGAACTCTTCAGGGTCAGGGGACATAAGCTGTGTAGCCAAAACTATGCAGACAAATACAACTTTCAAGTTCAGCTGCCTCAAGCATGCACTGATAAAAATCAAGAATACAGCTACACATGCTAGTTTGTATTAGGCCTCATAGTTCCAATGTACTACTACAAGTATGATGATCTTTTAGACTGGCAGTCAACCTGTATGTGTTTCCTATGGCTGATGGTTCTTTACGTAACAATGCCAAATCAACCGATAGTCCAGTTTTGTTTGAAATGTTGCACACTTTGAAAATTCTACTTTATATTTTAATGAAGGTTAAAGGTAACCAGCATTCAGTGTTTTGTCAGCTCCACTTATTTCATGTAGAGCTTTATGCTCTGTATACAAGATTGTGCAATTATGCTGCAATGTTTACATTGAAAACCGGGAGAAAGTAATTTCTGTACATCCATGAAAGTTTCAGCTGTTACACTTAAGCTATGCATTGACCACCACAATAACCTCACACTGGTTGAGCAGGTTGTGGAGAGGTTTCAGTGGTTTGATATTTTAAAGCAAGGGATGACAAAAGTAGAGCCAAATGAGACTGATTTAACAATTATGTACTTTAAGTAAACATGATTCCAAACACTAAGGCAGATATGGACAGTGCTCCATGGTCCACCTACCACAGTTGACCTCATCCTCTCCATTGTCACAGTCCTTTTCTCCGTCACATTTCCAGAAGACAGGGATACACTGGGTAGAGCCTGCTCCGCAGCTAAATTCGTTCATATGACACGTCCTCATATCTGCATGGACAGAAGCACAGGACATAGTGAGCTAATTATATTCTTGTCCTGTCACAATGTTTGCTATCCCTGGTATTTTCCATTTGTTTTAGGTAAGCAAACTTAGACCAGGTATAATTTTCATAATCATTAAGACATCCAAAATGCAATGCAACAAAAGTAAGCCAAGTTATCCAAGGGATTAGCTTAAAGGAGGTTTAAAAGTTCAGTTACAGCATTTGCATATTTGATACATCAGGGCTTCAGTCAAGCTTTTAGCTCTCCTTGCTTGATAAAATGAAGCTTGGGATTTTCCCTTCATGTGTTTTTCAAGGTGACTTTGTGCAGACCTGCATCTGATATTGGTCAATTGCAGGCACTTAAATGTGGTTTAGTGTGATGTTTGTGCAGAGGTTTACTATAAAGAGTAACATGAACAAGTGTTGTGATGTACAGTGCCATGACAGAGCTGCAGCAGACAGCACAACAGTTTGACACTGGAAATTGTGAAGAGCAAGAAATTAAAAACTCATTTGCATAGCTGCGCTGACTTTTCCCCTTGTGAATATGGCTTTACGTTTTCCAACAGACAGAACACACCCACCTTGCAATCTTATCCAGTGATTGTATTATTCAAGTCAATAGGAGCTGCAACTCACCAACACCCTGATGCAATAAAAGTGAGCCAACAACACAGCACAAGTTCAACACAGAAACTGTCAGGATTACTGTGCATGTGTTTACACACTTTATTCCATTCCCTGCTGCCAAGTTGTGTACCAGCTGGCCAAACAGTACAGCGATATAACAGCTACAATAACCAGGTTGACCTGCATGTACTTGCTTGCACAACCCCTCAACTCACATGGACGGCAAACTTAAATCCTATTCAAGACCTTCAGTTGACTGGACACTTCTCAGACTGGGAATGAAAATGTGCACGCACGCACACACAATTATAGAATAAATAAATTTGGATAACCAGACATCCATGGAAAAATAGTAAATTGAGAATGTGGTAAACATAGGCTGAGGAAAAAACTGAAACGCTTAGTTTATATAGCACCATTTCATACAAAAAGGTAGCTCAAGGTGCTATACAAGATTAAACAAATGGGGATAACAATGGCATCCTGTGACAGAGGTGCTGGAATTGAGCAGAGCACGTCTGAAATGAACTCTGGACCCAGGGAATTAAGTGCTTTGGATACCAGACAGCCAAAAGAGGTTCTGAGCGCGTAATATGATCCGATATACTGTATGTCCTAGTTATGTGCAGCTGTGATCTATGAATCCGAGTTGGAAGCCCCATGAAGAGTGAGATATGAATTTCAGTCTGCTTATGACAAATTCAAGCACAAGCTTCTCTGCATCAGGTTTGAGGAAAAAAGCCTCAGATTCCAAGATAATTTACTGGCAGGCAACTGTAGTGACACTGTTGCCATGATCACAAAAACCCTGTTCACTATACGCAAGGAGTCCTTGGGTTGTTTTTTTTTTGGTCCTGTTCACTTGTGTTAATGACCTTGACTCCAAGTACAGTCATGGCCAAAAATAGACTCATGCATTTGTCAGATAATACTTCTCAGAAAACTGAGAAATTCTTTGGCATTTCTCATTTCTTTTGTTTACAGAGAAAAATTGATCTTCCACACAGAAGTCCAAAAATGTACTGAGAACTATTAACACCCTCAACTTAACATTTGGTAGCACACCCTTTGGACAAAATAAGTCCAGTCACTTCCTGTGACCATCAATGGGTTTTACACCTCTACTGGAATTTTGGCCCACTCTTATGCCAGCTGCTCCAGATCTCAGATTTGAAGGGTTCCTTCTCCTAGCTGCTGTTTTGAGATCCCTCCACAGGTGCTCTATGGGATTGAGACCTGGATTCACTGCTGGCCACTTAACTCTCCAGCACATTGTCAAACCATTTCTGGTGCAATAACCACAAAGTAATTTATGTCTCAACTGCCATTTGGTGCCAGGTGTACAGGGCAGGCAGCGCAAATAAAAACAGTTGAGGGCACAGAATATTTCAGAATGCTGAATGTTGGATTTTTGGGGGAATCATTGACTACAGCTCATGACATGAGTGCTATTGGTTAACAGCTTAGTGAGAAAAACCGAGTGCTTGGTTTGATGCAAGGCATCTTCCAGCAAATGCAAACACGGTTGAATCATTAGGCACGCTTGATGACCCAGATTTGTGCAGAATTGATCACCGGCAATCGCCACACAATGCATGCCAGTTTTCTGTCCAACTTGCTCCAATGCAACACTCAGTCAAAATTCTTACGGGATCAAAGCAGCAGTTTCCACTGCAAGAGCTCAGGGAATGATGGGAAACGCCTAACAATAATCTGTACAGAAGTGAAGTGGTGATTATCTTACAGATCAACAGTGTCACATCAGATCAAACCTGGTCAAGTCAAATACAGCAAACTGATGACTTCATATGAAGTGTAGCCCAGATACATTTTAGACAGTTAACAGTACGAGATAGACAAATCTACATGTCATACAGAACCATTAAAACAGTAGCTGTTTTGACTGAGTAGATGCTAATCTGTATACAAAGACAAAGACAACAAACTGCACCAACACAGAGATAAACTACTGACCTAACAGATTTACAAGGATAATTAAAATTCTTCCACAAAACTCAGCCGATACATAAACCAAACCCCATGTAGCAATACAACTTAAGTACTATTCTACAACTGCATTTTTCACTTATCCAGCTGCTGCTTGTTTGCACCTTACCCGTTTCCCCCCCCCACAATATTAAAAAAAAAAAAAAAAAAAA